AGTGACAGGCCCGGGGCGGAGGGCGGGGCCGCCGGCGGGGATGAGGTCATGCCGAGCGAAAAAGGCCCTGACGTCACCTGCAGCCAATCAGCGCGCGCGGCTCGGGGGCAGGTGACGTCAGCCGGAGCCCGGCCGCGGGTGCAGATCAGAGGCGGCGGCCGCGGGGGGCGGGGGGCCGGGCTGGCCGCCGCCCTCCGCCCTCTGCCCTCCGCCCCCCCGTCCGGCACCGGCTCTTAAAGGGGCCGTGTGGCGTCCCCTCCGTTGCTGCGGGGGCGCCCCCCCGCCCCCCACCAACCTTCGGGGAGCCTTCCTAGCCCCGGCGCCCGGCCCCAGCACGCGGGGACCCCCGGCCTCGCGCCGCTCACCGCCGAGGAGGGGCCGGCTGAACGGGTCGTGGCTCGAGGGTCTTCACCCGCCGTGGCCCGGCCGGAGCTGGCGCCGCCTCCCCAGCCCCGCAGCCTTTGTTCGCGCGGGGCCTGCGGGCCCCGAGACCCTCGCGGTCCCGGGCGGCGAGGGCGCTGCGCGAGCTAGGCCCGCGAGCACTTTACCTGCGGCACTGACGCCGACCCTCTCCAGCACCCCTGGAGGTGGGAACCTGGGTTTCCACTTTACTCGGGAGCAAATTGGAAGCTCGGAGGCGAGACGGTTTGTCTCAGGTCACACGTCTCACGAACTCTGGGGAGGGTGTCCCCAGTGCAGTGCTGTCCCCCAGGCCCCGCCGATCACTCCAGCCCCTGATGCTTCTGGTGAAAAGCCACCCCCAAACAGTGCTTATCGGGGTCCACCCTGACAATATGTATTCTCCCCCAGCCCCCAGTCAAGGCTGTCGAGGGTCTGCCCCCAGGCGACTTGGGGCCCGGACGCTGGGAGTCCAGAGCGGGAACAAACATAGGTAATTACACCTTGAGCAGGGTTGGGCCGGAAACAACCAGGGGCCAGAGACACGCGGGCCGGGCGGTGGGCAGCCTGGAGGCCACCCCAGGAGGTGGTCTGGAGGCTGGGGAGGCACCTGTGGTGCGGAAGGGACCCTCCCTACCCCCCAGGCAGGAAAGACCTGGATGGTCCCTAGACCTGGAGGAGGTCAGGGAGCTGGAGGCAGGAGAGCCGGGAGAAGATATGCACCCACACACCTACTGATTACTGAGCACCTTCTCCAGCCGGGCCCTGTGCGGGGCACTGGGATGTTAGCTCTGAGAAAGACGACAAAGACCATTGCCGTGAGCTGACACTGACGGGAGCCTTTGAAGGTAATTTATTTTTTGGCGGGAGGTGTGACCAGACAGCTCAGATGTTTCTAAAACCCCTTCCCTATGGCTGGCCGATGGAGAGTGAGGTGATCTTTTCTCTAGCCTGAGGCGCCCGGCCTTGGCAGGTCTCCCAGGGCCACCTAGGGGCTCTGAGAGGGGCTCTGGCCCCCGGGGAGTGCAGCACCTTCCCAAGGAGGGAGAGAGCTAGGAGGTGGCTCTCAGCCATCCTTGGTTGAAGAAGGGTCACAAAAAATGTGCCAGGCACAACTGGCCTGTCTTGTCCTGGGCCAGGATGCGCACTCTGGACCGCAGAGCTCTGTGTGGGAGTGCAGGAGGGCATCGGGTAGCAGGTGGGTCCTGGGCAGGGCTCTGGAGGGTCCCCCCTTCTGATCCTCAGTTCTCCCAAGCAGGCTGAGCCACCTACAGCCTCAGGGCTTTGCACAGAGTAGGTGTGTAGTAAGTGTGTGGGGCCTCCTTTCTTGCTGGCCTGAAGAATGTCAGGGTAGTTGTGTGTATATGTGGTGCATGGTGGGCGCAGGGCTGGGGGGGGGGGGGGGGGGAGGGGGTGTTTTCGTGGCAGAGCCAACACCGAGGATAAACAGGTAACTGCTCCTTGCCGGGAAGGGAGCGCTGGTAACCTGGGGGCTATCTGGGGCTGGGGCTGGGGCTGGGGCTGGGGCTGGGTCTGGGACTGGATTGAGGTCTTTCCTCTTTCTGTGATCTGCTAGCCAGAGGCAGACCCTGAGCTCCTGGGAATGCCCAGCCCAGATGCATGGCTGGGACAGTGGTGGGTGGGGGCTTCCCTGGGACCCTGCTATGTTTGGGGGCCTGGGAGCGGCAGGAGTTGGGGTTTGTCGGTCTTTAGACTGAGGAGTTGGGTTTGCTCCCTGGCTAGGGGGGAAGGTGTTCAAGTGGGCTCCTCTTCTGCCCAGCCGGGACGTGGTCAGCACTTGCACGTGGCCTGGGAGTGCCCATGACCCCAAAGAACTCTGGCTGTGCCCTGGGCAGCTCCTGGCTAGGCCTGAGCAGGTGGCAGTAAATTGAGGGGCGGGCGATGATGTCCTCACTTCCTTCTGGAAGCTGTAGATGAGTGGGTGGGGGTGGCGTGCAGCTTTCTGGGGCTGGACCTGGCCAGGGAAGTATGTTTGGGCCATGATTATTCTCCAGTTCTGTCATTTCTGGTGCAAAGGAGCACTTAAAACCTGGAGTTTTGCAACAAGGGGGCAGAGGTTTAGGGAGGCACTGCGAGTTTCCCAGGCCGCTAGCTCTGCCCTAGGTTCTTTCCAGCCCCGTGCTGGATTCTATCCGCGCCCCCCTAGGCCCCCTCGGAGGGCCAGCGGCCTGGGCGCTGAGACTCATGCCCTAAGGAGATGCGCAGGGGCAGGGGCGGCTGGGGGAGGGGGCTGCGGTGGGCCCGGGCGCTGGGCAGTGCTTGGAAGGAAGTGGGGTTCCCAGCTCCCCAGCCAGGGGTCGCCTTGTGAGGCCGGGCCAGGTCCAAGCCCGCTGCCCGCTGGGCCCGGGCTCCCCGCGGGTGATCGCGGGGGGCCACGCGGGCCCGGGCCCCCAGCGGTGGAGCGGGACCCGGCTCAGGGCAGCGTCGGGGTCGGGTCGGTCCCCCGCCTGGAGGACCGCGCGCCGGGTCGGGCTGACGCGGGCGGTCCGTGCGCGCCCCCTGCCGCCCGCCTGCGCCCGACCAGAGAGGACGCGCGGGGTGGACTTTCCTTCCTGCGTCCTCGCCACACAGAAAGAAAAACGGGGTCCACTTTTTTTTTTTTTTTTTTTTTTTGCCGATTTGCAGCTCGGCGTTTCAGCCAAAGACACACAATAAACGTGTAGCCGTGGCATTGTTTTCCCCACAACCAGATTTTTTTTTTTTTTTTAAAGTCATGGCATTGTTAATAAAATGAGTATCCCGGTTGTCCAAGCAGGTGGGCTTGGACCTAGGGCTTTCCGGTCGCCCCAGGAAGCTCCCCCGCCCTCCCAGCCTCTGACCTAGCCCCCTCACCTTCTGACCTAGCGCTCGGTGAACCTGGACGAGGTTCGCCATAACCAGGTGATAAACGTCTGTGGGGTGTTGCATTTGATGGACGCGCGGTGATATTTGGACCAAGTTTCTATATTTATGTGATAGATTATTTCCATAGTTTGGTTATTACATCCAGTGCAGGGAGCAGCATCCTTCTGTGTGTTTTTCATAACACATTTCAGATTATTTTCTTTCCTGGTTTTTAATTATGATGTAAAACAAAAACAAAAACAAAAACAAAACCCTGCCAAACACGTGTAATGACGGAACAGACACCTGTTTTTAGCTCTGGACCCAACCATGTCAGCAGGTCTCCGTGTTTGCTTCAGGCTGGAAGAATCACATCGGGGTCCTGGTGGGAGGCAGGCGCTGAGTGGGGGACGTCTTCTCGGTTCTGGCTTTATCATTTCATGGCACGCATAAGTCCTGCATACAGCCTTGTGCGCTTTTCAATATTTCTGTATGAGCATCATGGCACAACATTTCTCCTTCAATTTGCTTTTTCTGTTTTGCACGCGCCAGCCTGTTTTTCCTTGTTGAGGCGGGTGCCCCCGTCCACCCGTTTTAGCTGCTGTGTGTGTAGGTTTGCACTGGAGGAACAGACCGGTTATGTTGCCATTACTCTACTGATGGACATTTAGCTCGTTTGCAAGTTTTTCTCCACGCAGCTGTGTTGCAACGAACGTTCTGGTGGTTGTCTCCTCGCACCACGTAGCCAGCTGTGTCAGCACGACCTGGGACTGTGTGGGAAGTGCACACTCTCAGCCCCCACCCAAGCCTGCTAAGCCAGAATCTCTGTTTTAACAAGTTCAGGAGATTCGTACGCACGTTCAAGCTTTTGGCTTTCTTTTTTGTATCATTTTATTTAATTTTTAAAATTATACAGTAAAATTGACTCGACTTTTTTTTTTTATTGTGGCAAGATATGCATGATATAAAAGTTGCCGCCTTAACCATTTTTAAGTGTTCAGTTCAGGGGCATTAAGTACGTGCCCATCATGCACCCACCACAGCCATCCGTCTCCAGAACTTACTCATCTTTCCCAACTGAAACTCAATCCCCATTAAACAATAAACCCCATTGTCCCTGCCCCGGCCCCTGGCACCCGCCATGCTTCTCTCTGTCTCTACGAATTTGACTTCTCCAGGGAACTTGTGTGAGTGGCACCCTGTGGTATTTGTCCTTTGTATCTGCCTCATGTTACTCAACATCATGTCCTTGGAGCTCATCCATAGGTAGCAGGTGTCGGAATTGCCTTTCTTTCTAAGGCCGAATAATCTTCCATGGTGTGGACAGATGACATTTTGCGTATCCCTTCGTCTGCCGGTGGGTGCTGGGCTGTCCCCGACCTTCGTGTACTGTGAATAACACTGCTGTGAACAGTCTCTGTGAACAGAGACCCTGCTGTGCACTCTTTTGGGTATGTACGTGGAAGTGGAATTATCAGATCACATGACATTTGCGTGTGTACCTTTTGAGGAACCACCAAACTGTTCTCCATGGCAGCTGTACTCTTGTAAATTACCAACAACGCACCAGTGTTCCAACTTTTCGACATCTCAACAAAATTGACACTTTTGGGTTTTGACACCTATGTAGATTCGTGTGCCGTCATCATTATCAATACGGAGCAGCTCTGTCACCCTAAGAATGTCTCCCGTGCTATTTCTTTATGGTGACATACTCCTTTCAGCCTTACCCCTTGGCAACCACTGGTCTGTGCCCATCACTATGGTTTAGTTTTTCTGAGGACACGAGAGGAGTGGAATCCCACAGTACGTAAGCTTTAGAGACTGCTATTGTCTTTGACGTTCATCCCGGTTGTTGGTGTATCAATAGCTTGTTCCTTTTTGCTGCTGGGAAGGATTTGATGGCACGTTTAGAACACAGTGTACCCAGTCACTTGCTGAAGGACATCCGGGTTGTTTTCAATTTTTTAGACATCATGAATAAAGCCATTAGAAACATTCCCGTGCAGGGTTTTGTGTTAGTGTAAGTTTTCATGTCTCCAGAGTACATGCCCTGGAGTATGACCATGGGTCACACGGTGGATATTTGTTTAACTTATCAGACTGCCATTTGCACATTTAGCTTTGAGAGACACTGTCTCAGGGCTCTTGGGCCAGATTTCTCTGAGGTGTGTGCCCAGAAGTGGGGTCATCAGGTTACAGGATACGCCTGCCGTTAGCGTCCTGGAAGTTACTAAATTGCTCTCAAGGTGTGGATATAATAATCACCCCACCAGTGAGTTATGGAAGCTCCAGTTTTTATAATCCTTGTCAACATTTGGTGTTTTGATTGTAGCTGCATTGAATTGATAGGTTAATTTGGAGGAGAGCACTATAGGCTCTTCTCATCCATGTACGTGTATTTAGTTTTTAAATGTCCTTCTCTGTTGCTTTAGGATTTTCTCCAGAGAGGTCTTATCCATTCCTGTTAAATGTATTCCTACTTGCCTTATAATTTCTGTTTCTGTTGGGAAGGAAAGGCTCTTTGTAAAAATCATTTTCTGATTTGTTGTCACTTGTCTGTAGGCTTCCTCTGATTTAGCCTCTCTGAATTCCCTTATTAGTTCCGCCATGAATTTCCTATCAATTCACGTGGACTTTCCAGGCAGATAGTCATACATCTGTGGATCCCCACGTTTGTTTCTTTGCAAACCTGACATCACCCATTTCTTTTTCTTGTCATAGTGCATTGACTAGGATCCCCATCATCATGTCAAATGTACCTGGTGATGGTAACAGTCTTAGCCTGGGTTGCCTAGAAAGCAAGCCAGAGGCAAAGCTTAATCCAAGCGTGCTGTCGAAGGGCCGATCCAAAGGAGGCCAGAGTCGGGGGCCGGAAGAAGTTGCGGCTAGTTGCTTGTCTATGCAGGCCATCTCCAGTGAGGCCTAATGGAGACACTGCAGCACAGAACAGTCTGCAGGGAGGAAGAAGGGAGAACACTTTATCCACCTGTCTTCTGTTCTC